CTCTCTCTCTCTCTCTCTCTCTCTCTCTCTCTCTCTCTCTCTCTCTCTCTCTCTCTCTCTCTCTCACACACACACACACACACACACACACACACTTTCATTCTTATTAATTAGTCTTTGAGTCAATGGCCTGAGACACTTTAAGATGGAACACGATGGTCCCTCATGTAGTTTGGACTCTGGCAAAAGAACAGTCACTTATTTGGAGAAGATTCAGTGGTTTGGCAGTAGACTTTTTCAGATATATGTTAGATAGGAATCACTTGGCACTGACTCAAAGGCCCTATTTCTCACTCAGCTCATGTGCCCTACCTGTTGACCTATCTATAGTTTGTTTCTAGCACTCAGGTGTAGTTATTGCTAATCATCTGTAGCAAATAGCTATTTGGTACGTTCTCTGACTTAATTCAAGGTCTAGCTTTTTCCATTTCATGACCGTCATGAGAATAAAGTGGAAATGTATAATATATTATAAGTAATATAAATAATATAAAGTAGAAATATAAGTATCTTTCTATTGCCTGGCCATGATCTAAAAACCAGAAGGTTTGGAGTGGATATATGTTTACTTCTGAAAACAAGCCTGTGCACCTCTCATAGAATACGTCACTGACTTTTGCAGCTACATCCATGCCAGTAATCTCTTCTAGCTCTGAAAGCTGAACTTTCCTATCTTAGAGGCTCTTATCAGTAAGTCACCCAGAAACCAACCATTCCTAATGAGTTTAATTTTAACTTAGGGCTTTCCCAACAATACATTTGACTTAGGAGGGAGATAGGATTCATTGATTTTGCTGCTCTCCCATTAATATTACTGCCATTTTTCTTCCCAGGGACACAACAGTCATCAGCCACTCTCCTAACACTAGCTATGACACAGGTCTAGAAGCTCGCATTCAGAAGGAGGAGGAAGAAATCTTGATGGCCAACAAGCGTTGCCTTGACATGGAGGGCAGGTAAAATGTTGATCTGGACCCTGGTGGATCTGAGAAGTTGGTTTGGAAATCAGTTATGTCAGTAGGGGAGGGCAAGCATCTTCATTCTCCGCTGGGAAACCTGATAATGTAACTTCCACCCACCCCTGCACCCCTGCCAGCCTGTTACTTAGGATTTGAGATGCAGTGACCTTTACCTTGATCATTTCCACTCACTGTGGAATTCCAAGTTATGCGCTTTCCCCATTGGTCTTGGTAATTGCTTTCTATCTGCCCTCTGGCAGAACCAAACCATTGATATTTGTACTCTAGGGTATTATTTGTAACACTGCATCTCAACCCTGTTATACAGCAGAGTGCTCAGTAAGAGAACATTCACTCATGCAGCTACTCATGTCTCTTATAAACTCAGTGCTCATTTACTTATTACCAGAAGGTAGTGGCCCAATCATAGAGGCTTCCTTCTTCTCACTGACTACATCATTTCTATTGACCCAGATTCTTCACTACAGCACCCACTACATTGGTTTACTCTCATATATGATCTTTCCTTTCACTGATATTTTACTTTGGCTTACTAAAGCTTAAGAAATAATTCCTAAGTGCTCTACTCCATCCATTTGAATGTGAAGAAAAGGAATTTTTTTAAGGTAGCCCAGTGTCCCTTGTCTTACAACTTAGAAATAACTAGACTACCCCCTAGTCAAAAAAGATGATGGAAACTCAAGTCCATGTAGGCAGTGAGACCAGAACATGGAGGTGGCAACAAAGTATTTATATGTTCTTTGTCTTTGGTTTCTAGGATTAAGACCCTCCATGCCCAGATCATTGAGAAGGATGCCATGATCAAAGTACTCCAGCAACGTTCTCGGAAGGAGCCAAGTAAGACGGAGCAGCTGTCATCCATGCGGCCAGCAAAGTCTCTGATGTCCATTTCCAATGCTGGATCAGGCTTGCTCTCCCACTCTTCTACCCTGACTGGCACCCCTATTGTGGAAGAGAAGCGGGATGACAAGAGCTGGAAGGGGAGCCTAGGTAATGACATATTTAAAGAGAGCCCTGACTTAGATACATGTCCATGAGGCAAGGAAAAGGAGTGATGGTCCAGATTCTAGAGAGGAAGATATAGCAGGTTGTTTTTGTCCTCCTGAGAGGCTAGCTACATATCAGGAGCTCCTCTATACTGTGAAGTCTCACTGAAAGAACACTGGTTGAAGTCATGACCTTAGAAAAATCCTGGAGTTTTATTTGGGTGAGAATGAAAATAACTTGTTTCCTCTAAAATATTCTCAGATTTTACTGTATGTGACCTTTTGTCTGTGTCCAAAGCCCATGTGGCCTTCATGTCATTTAAAATTTCAAAATTCTAGCCTTTTCTATGTTCTTTTCTCCCATGAAGTTGGAAGACTCAGAGTTCTCGTTAAGCCGAATGGAGCTGGGTGGCAGGTTTTTGCTACCAGAATGTTCGGAGATGAGAACAAAATGTACTTTTTTATTTCATTCCTGTCCATTCCTTCCCCTCTAATTGAAACCCCAGATGTATTGCGGATACCACGAGGCACATTATTAGAGCCTTAAGAAACAAGCTATATTTTTAAATTTTAGCTCTTTTTGTTGTTTCTAATATCTTTCTTCGTTTTCTGACACTTGTAGTGTCCTTTGGTTAGGGTAGGCATTTTAGGGACCATGGTCAGGGTTAGAACCTTAGATCAAACAATTATTATCACACCCATCTGTGAACACAGACTTCTTCCACCAGTCCTTTCCAGCTGTCTGGTAACAGATGGTGTTGGTTAAAAGTGGAACCGAGTAGAAGCATTCTGACAGCTCGGTGGAAATAAATCACCATTGGAAAAAATAAATCAAAATGCGTATCCAGGAAACTTAAAGGTTTAATATGATGTATTGGGGGTTGGAGAATGAGGATCAAAAGGGATCTGCCAAGTCTGAAAGAAAATTTTAACCATGATGGGAGGTCCCTGACAAACTGATTCCTGGGTTTGCTGGAGGGCAAAGTAAATAATTTAGGCCCATTCATATTTCTCCTGAACCTCCTACAAATAAGTAGAGGTAATGAGATGGCAGTATTTGAGTAACCTAGTTTCCTAA